TCCAGCTGCTCCAAGCCCGGCAGATTTCCCAAAACCGTAGTTGGCTTCCGTCTCACATGCCCCATTTGGGATTGATCAAAACTCACAAGCTTCAGCTGCCCTCGTCCCACCAGGTCCTTCAGTTCAGGAAAGTTCCAAAAGGATGGGAAGTTGGCTGCAACCTCAGGTCCAAGGTATTCCATTGGGTCCTCAGGAGACTCCAGTGCAAATGCCGTAGGAAGACAATGAAGCTCCGGCACCTGCATGCGTCGCTCCTCCGCCTTCAAGAACAGACCCAGCTGCTTGAAGAGGAGCGCTGTATCAGAGTTGACCCGATGCAGGTCCCATGTGGACAACCCTTCAAGATGGAAGCGTAGACCGTCTCGTCCTCGAAGAGGAGGTGGTCCAGGCTGCCGTTGCCGCAGCCGTGATGTCGTCCTGCATGGTGGTCCACCCAAAATGCCAACCACCTTTCCAGCACATGCAAGCTCCCAAATGAACGCCCACGTGGCTGCATCATGTAGGTCAATCCCATGCAAAGTGTCCACCGTGAGGATCGTGTAGCCAGCCTGTTCCAGCTCATCCCACTGTTTGTGGTTCTTCCCTGAAAAGAGGTGCAAGAGGATGCCCTTCGACTTCCACAGTCTCCTTCTTCGATGGCGATTCCAGGGAAGGCTAGAAGAGTGGTCACGCCAGCTTTCACCCTGCCCCTTCATGAACCTCCAGATGGAGTGCGGGACCTGTGGGAAGTGATCAGCCCACCACTTCAACTCGTCCTCCTTCAAGTCCACATCAACCTGCTGCATCTTCTCCAAGTCACCCAACAGGGACAAGCCTTCCGCCCTTGACATCACAGGGCATCCTCCCCTCAAGCTGCACTGCAAAGGCCCTTTAGTAGGGTGGTGGATCACGATGCTGTCTCTCTTCCATGTGATCTTGTAGTCAGCTGCCACCAACCAGGCCAATGGAATGATCGGCTCAACAGGGCTCCGGCTCAGCAAAGTCTGGTGCTTGGGGTGCTTGAAGAGGGTCGTAGATCCACAGGCCAACTCCACCTTGGTGGCAATCAGGTCAGGTTCCTCTTCAGGTCTGGCCTGTCGAAGTCCATGCGTGGCTCCACCATCAAGGAGTGCATATTCTCCAGGTCCTCCATAGATCCCTTCTCCCACGGACTTCATCCGCACGGCCTTCAAGGACCGGATTGACTTCAGCAAGCTTGTGGCTTCCCTCATCAGCTCAGCTGCTGCTTCTGTCAAAGGCTCACCCATTGGTTCAGTGGCAGTTGAATCACCACCTTGGGTTCCATCCGAAGTACCCCCAAGAGTCGTGCTGACCACATCCTTGGGCTTGACCTCACTCCCATTGGGGGTTTTCCCAGGACTCTTCTGTGCATCCACCACTTGGTCCTTGGCGGCTGACTTCGGGGTCGCCTTCACCTTGGAAACCTTCTTGGGCTGTGAGCTATCCCCTGCAGGGCCACCAGCCGGGGTGGATGTAGGAGTTGAAGTAGATGAGGTCTTCGCTGTGCAATCCTTCCGAAGATGTGAAGAGCTCCCACAATTGAAACACCGTCCCTTCATCTCCGTGGTCTCATGAAGAAAAGTGCACTGCGACCCGCGTCTGCATCCATCCACAGTCTTCCAAAACTTACATGGTGCCTTCGATGGATTCAGAGCTGATGCACTCGTAGTCGAAGTTGAAGCGTCCAAACCCACCATGGCTTTCAGCGAGGTTGGGGCAGCAGCTCCAGCAGTAGTGGCTCTCAGGCCGATTCCCAAGCTCAGCTCCTCGGCCTCAGACTGGAGGTACTCCGCATACTGCTCAATGGATAGTGCCAAGGGCCTGATGTCAACCCCCAGCTCCTGCCTCACCGAGGCCACCCGGTACGCCAGCTGCGTTCCACCCAGCTTCCCAAGAGCATCTGCAAAGCGATGAAGAACTCCTCCAAGAATGATCGGATCTGGAAGGGCCAAGTTCAGCTCCATGGATCGGCTCATGAGACGCCTCCATCGCCGAAGTCCCCCAAGCAAATCCGGTGCGCTGCTGGCCACCTTCGGCTCCGTGAGCTGTTTGAGAATGCTCACCCGCTCTGAGCTGCCACCAGGTTGAAAGACCGTCCACAACCTGTACATAATGCCAGTGACCGTCATAGTCCTGCTGGCAATCAGGTCCTGTTTGATGGACTCCGGGACGCACTTCAGCAGCATAGGCACCACCCTCTGCTCCAAGCGTAGATGGGCCTCGGATCGTTGAACTTCTGTTGGACGAAGTCTGATCCTCTCCAAGGGCGTCGAAGTGAGCCACCGGTCATACAAACTTGAGGCATCTTGCAAGATGTCACCCCACCAACCACGAGCAGATCCAGCCACGTCCCCAATCATCGGAGTGACCACTGTGATCCAATCACCAAACTGCAGAGCTGACTGCTCCGTCCCAGGTTGAGGTAGTAGAGGAAGCTCGGAACCTCTCAAAGGCTCCATCGGCTGTGCCACACCTTGTTGTAGATCTGGTCCACCCAAGCCTGGAGGTCTCACCAGCGACGTAGTTCCACCTGCACCTCCACCAGCACTAGGTCCAGTCAGTCCACCTCCAAGGTGTCCTGTATTGGCCGACATTCCCAATCCACCTGGAAGTTGATCACCCCCATGTAAGCCCACATCAGGACTCTGAGAAGTCACTGCCGGTCCACCATAGACTGCACCACCTTGATGATGTCCAGGATTCATCCCACATCCACCATTGAAACCCAGGACACTCTGCGTTCCAGGAGAGTGAGTCACCATTGGAGAAACCGGTTGGCTCCACATCATGCCACCTCCAAGTCCAGCGGTCTGACCTCCTTGATGAAGTCCATGATGCCCAGACATAGGTTGCCCCCCAGGCTGCACTGCCGCCAAAGACGACGTAGGAGCCCCCTGCAAAGAAGGCATTGGTGGAACCATCCTTCCATTCGCTCCAGGCCCACTCGAAGCTGTGTGGTAAGAGCGCACCTCACCCTCCGGCTCCTCGCCCTTCAACTTCTTCGCCTCTCCGATGAAGCTTTCCTCTGCTGCCTTCACAATCCTCAGCCGAAGTGCCTCCACCGACTTCTCGGGTGACGGTTGTGAAAGAGCTCCACTCAGACCAGCTTGAAGAGATCCAGGACCACCATCGAGTAGCGCTCCATTGGCCTGCACAGGGCCTGCTTGTCGTCCTTCTGCACCAAGGGCCTGCCCAGGGCCGATGCCACCAGTTGCAACCCAGCTTGAAGAGGCCTGCACAGGGCCAGCACCAGCTACCATGCCGCGCGAAGAGGCCTGCTCAAGACCTATGCCGTTAGCCGCACAGCGCAAGGAGGCCTGCTCAGGGCCAATGCTCCCAGCTGCACAGCGCGAAGAGGCCTGCTCAAGGCCAACACCACCAGCAGCGCCGCGCAAAGAGGCCTGCTCAAGGCCAGTGCCACCAGCAGCGCAACCAGGATGAAGATGTCCAGAACCTCCACATCCTTCACCAAGGGCCTGCCCAGGGCCAAATGACACCGGTGGACCAGCAAGCGGTGGCAATGCCTGAGGCCTTGCAACATCCGGCACTCCCTCAAGTGCTGCCGCCCTTCTGACTTCGCTGCTCCAGAAGGCATTGACGCCAGGCTGAACCATCAGAGCTCCAGCACCGTTGCGATCATGGCCAAACAGGCCATCTGCCGCCTCCAACAAGGCCGGACCATCACGGTACTCCAAACCTCGTCCTTGGCCAGCTTCTCCTCGTAGATCTTGAGCTGAAAGTTGACCAGCTCCAACAGCGCTAGAAAGCTCTGCCACCACGGCTGGACTGGTCTCATCATCCTCGTCCAACCTTCTATGAAAAACTCGTGGGGCTTCCTCCTGTCCAAGGTCCTGGAACAGCGGAGCCAAGAGGCCATCCGGCACCTGAGTCCCTGATCCCACTGGCAGCAAACCCGTGGACCCAGCAGCTTCACCTTCTCCTCGACCATCACGTCGGGGTCCCGGGCTAGAAGCTGCAGCTCTTCCCTCTTCCACCATCAGTCTTCTGACCTCAGGCACCGGGGAGCTGATCCTCGAGTTCCGCTCCATGGCGATCAAGCGGTCCAAGCGCTCATCGGCCGTCTCGCGCAGCTGCCGCCGTCGGCGGTCCATGGCCGCGCACAACGCGGAGTTCACCCAAGCGCCGTAGCACTTGGGCTCATAACCTGCGAACCCCAAACGGGGAAAAAAACCCGAAGCAGCAGCGGCTGCCTCTTTCTTGAGCCATCCAAAAGGTAGCGTGTCATCGCTTGTGCAGGGGCCATGCCAGTGAGACGACTGAAGCATGTAAAACCCCTGAGACATGTGAACACTTCTTGATTTGTGCGTGTCCATCCAAATTGAAAATGCCACCACACTATCATTTAGGGTATATAGATTATGACATTGTAGCTATGAGGTGTTTAGTGGTGTTTACCTTCATTTTGGTTTGGAGTAAATTGTGTACAACATCGAAGTGTATAGCATCACCGTATGTTTATGCCTCAAGCTATTCTCTTGCGGAGGCGGGGCTACTATGATAATCATCACGCAATTCGTACCAAAAATGGCAAAATGTCCGACAACACCCATCTCAAAAAGAAACATGATGAAACACTGTGTATTATCCAGTTTCCAAGCTAGAAACCTTCATTTAGAGTGGTTTGTCCATCTTTTTCCCATATTTTCCCATCCTTTGGGCTGGGGCATGTATGGAAAACGCCTCATCCGCTGAGGCTCGGAGTTGCGTCAACTCTTCGCCGTGATTCTTCGCATTGGGTCGCTGGGGTCGAAAATGCGGGGGAAAATTACCATTAGAACCCATAAGTGATGGCTTACGTTCGTTTATATGGGGGCATGATCTCAAAATATTTCAAATATAAGCCTGAAGTGGTGATGTTTGAATCATGTCCAGCTCTACATGCCTGGCTTACATGCCTGGCTGGCTTTATATGGTCTTTAGTGTCCATCCTGCATTTCAGATTGCGAATTGCACCTATGTTTGAGATGGCTCGGTCCACCATGTGGTAGCTTGGAGACTTGGGATTGAAAGCCCTGGAATCCTGGAAGATCCAAATGGGAAAAAAACAATCACCTGTTACCATATTGGGAGGAATCCCCTCTGGTAAACTAACACTTTGCTATGGAAAATCCCCATCTTAAAAAACGGTAAATCAAGGAACTAAATGGGCCATGGCTTCAATAGCAAATTCTTAGTCATTACCAGAGGGTAACCATCCATTAACCAGCTCGTGTGCCATATGTCCAAGTTCCCAAGCACCAGGAATTACATCAACCACGGCAGCAAGAACGGCGACGACGGCGCTGCCAGAGGTTTTTCCATTGAGACGCTGCCGGCCATCACCAGCTTCAAACTGGGGAAGCTCGGAGAAACGAAGTGGTGCAACGGTGTTAACCCACCATCAAAAACGAAGATTTATCTAGATTCTAGGAAAAGATCTACTGGAGTTGTCTGAAAATTTAGGGTTGTTGAAGTTTGTTGTGCCAGTTTTTTGCCGGTGGTACAGCAATTTTAAGCTGGGTATGTATATATAATATACATATATATATATACACACACACATGTTTTCCTTACACGTACTCATTTTCCCGAATGCGTAGCAAGGGTTCCCGTTTCACTCTGGGGGTCTGGGGGTTGAGGGTGTGTTCGCTCGACGTTGCGTTCACGTTCGCAACCGTTCGCAACCGTCCGCAACCGTCCGCAACCGTCCGCGCGATCCCCGTATGGCCGTGCCTATGGGAAGTTCTGCAGGAGGGGTCCTTTTTGGAGGTTTCAGACGTGTCGTTGCTTCGTTTCGCGTGGCAGGCGTGGCACTTTGTGACATTCAGACGTGTTTTGCAACGTGTGGAGAATCGTTTTGCGTGGCAGGCGCAATACTTTTGTGACGTTTTCAGAAGATGTGTTGCAGTTTTCGTGGCAGGCGCAGCACTTTGGACGTGCCCATCGTCATTTTTCGTGGCAGGCGCAGCACTTTAGACGTGTCCTGTTGCGTGTTTTTTGTAAATCGCATTGGCAGGGCTGCGTCAAGTGGTGACAAAGTGCAAATTCCGTGGCAGGCGTGGCATTTTCTGACATGTGTTGAAAATTGACGGAAGCCTCGCACGAAACATCGATTTTGGGGTTGCAAATTTTCAGGTTCTAAGGAAAACTCGTAGGAAAACGTCGAGTTTGAAGCTGCAAAGTGTGAAAATCGGAGGAAGTCTCGCACGAAATGCTCGTTTTGGTGCTCCCACCTGTCTCTTCTGGCATGTCTGGTTTTCCCGTGGCCTCGCCGTGTCTATGGTGGAAGCTGCAAAACTTCTCCTTTTGTCATGTTGCCAACTGTGAAAATTGGAGGAAGTCTCGTAGGAAATGCTAGTTTTTCTGCATCCATGTGTCTTGTCTCGAGTCGCTGGTTTTCCTGTGGCGTCGCCGTGTCTATGGGGGAAGTTGGAAAACCTGACTTTTCGAATGTTTCCGAGGAGGTTGTCATGTGGTTTTGGGTGGCAGACGTGACATTTTCTGACATTCCAACCTGTTTGATGATGTTCACAAAATGTCAAAATTGGAGGAAGTCTCGTACGAAATGCTGGTTTTTCTGCATCCACGTGTCTTGTCGCGAGTCTCTCGTTTTCCTGTGGTGTCGCCGTGTCTATGGGGGAAGCTGGAAAACATCTCCTATTCGAATGTGTCCAAGCAGGTTGTCATGTCGTTTTGCGTGGCAGGCGTGGCACTTTGTGACATTCCGAGCTGTTTGATAACGTGTTGAAAATGTCAAAATTGGAGGAAGTCTCTCACGAAATGCTTGTTTTTCTGCATCCATGCGTCTCGTCTCGAGTCTCTGGTTTTTCCTGTGGCGTCGTCGTGTCTATGGGGGAAGCCGCAAAATCTCTCCTTTTTGAAGGTTTCCAAGCAGGTTGTCATGTCGTTTTGCGTGGCAGGCGTGGCACTTTCCTCACTCCACACTCCACACTTTACACTCCTCACTTTACACTCCACACTCCACACTCTACACACCACACTCTACACTTTCCACTCCAGACTCCACACTCTACACTTTACGCTCCACACTCCACACTTTACACTCCTCACTCCACACTCCACACTTTACACCCACACTTTACACTCCTCACTCCACACCCCACACTTTACACTCCTCACTCCACACTTTACACTCCACACTTCGCACTCCACACTTTCCACTCAACACTCCACACTCCCACTTTACACTCCTCACTCCACACTTTACACTCCTCACTCCACACTTTACACTCCACACTTTACACTCCACACTCCACACTCTACACACCCACACTCTACACTTTCCACTCCAGACTCCACACTCGCACCTCCACACTCGGACACCCACACTCACACACTCCACACTACACTCCACACTTCACACTTTACACTCCACACTTTACACTCCACACTCCACACTTTACACTCCACACTCACACTTTACACTCCACACTCCACACTTTACACTCCTCACTCCACACTTTACACTCCACACTTCACACTCCACACTTTCCACTCAACACTCCGGGCTCCACACTTTACACTCCACACTCCACACTTTACACTCCTCACTTTACACTCCACACTTTACACTCCACACTCTAGACTTTACACTCCACACTTTACACTCCACACTCCACACTCTACACTTTACACTCTACACTATACACTCTACACTCCACACTTTACACTTTACACTCCACGATTTCCATTTACACTCCACACTTCACACTTTACACTCCACACTTTACACTCCACACTCCACACACACTCTACACTCCATACTTTACACTCCACACTCCACACTCTACACACCACACTCTACACTTTCCACTCCTCACTCCACACTTTACACTCCTCACTTTACATTCCACACTCCTCACTCCACACTTTACACTCCTCACTTTACACTCCACACTTTGCACTTTACACTCCTCACTCCACACTCACTCCACACTCTACACTCCACTCCACTCCACACTCTACACTCCACACTCTACACTTTACACTCCATACTCCACACTCCAAACTTTCCACACTCACACTTTACACTCCACACTTTGCACTTTACACTCCTCACTCCACACTCTACACTCTACACTCCACACTCCACACTCTACACTCCACACTCTACACTTTACACTCCATACTCCACACTCCAACTTTACACTCCACACTCCACACTTTGCACTTTACGCTCCACACTCCACACTCTACACTCTACTCGACACTCCACACTCTACACTCCACACTCTACACTTTACACTCCACACTCTACGCTTTACACTCCGCATTCTACACTTTACACACTCTACACTCCCTACTCCACACTCCTTACTTCACACTCCACACTCCACACGCTACACTTTCCACTGCACACTGCAGACTGGTAACAAGGGAAACATGTACAAGACTGTTCAAATAAACTATTGCAGAAAGGTATTGTGCGTCACTGCATAACCATCTGTTTTGACATCTGTACCATTAACATACGTGTGAGCATTCGGGTTCGTGGGCTTCATCTTGTTTTTTTTGATGGGGAGGAGGGGTTTACCACTATTTGATTACCGTGTCATCTTGATTTTGTTTCTGTGATCAAACCTGTTTTTTTGTTTGCATATTTTCCGCATGTCCCCAACACTTGGGCACCTTCGTTTGGAACTCGAAATGCCTTGGATCGCACAGGAACATGTCGACCTTGCAATTCCTCTGTGTGACCTTCAGGCGTGAGACCGCGGATGCCAGATGCCACGGGAACCCCCAAGTTGTAGGATGGTGTAAGCTGGTTGACTTTTACCCATCCAAGTGTAGATATATCCATGAAATAGAAGCCAATACAACCTATGGACCTATGGTTGCAAACCAACTTACCTGCGGTGAAACCGATCCTTCTTGCAGGAAACCTTGGGATCTTAACAGCCATAGGTCCAGGGTGTTCCTGTTCCTATGATTGTTAGATATTTGGCTGGTGGTTTCCCATTCCTGTGTCATGTTCCTCCTATTTGAATGAGATCCTTGTTTTCAGGGCGGTTGAAACCACGAACATCGACAAACCATACACAGTTTTCTGTGGTTTTCCCCAATTTTACCCAAGGAAATATTTGGGTAGACCATGTAAATGTGCCCCTTAACCAATCCCAAGAGCAACCAAGTTGAACTGGTTGACCAGCCAAACGGTTCCATCCTCATTGAAATCTCCGTCTTTTTGCCCTCTGCATGCAGTTTGTTACTATTTACCCTCTGGTAATCAAACGTGGCAATTGAAAATCCTGGTTTTGATTGGAATTAAATGGAAAACCATCTATAAAGATGGATGATTTCCCATTGCCATGATTGATTGTCGGGGGGTATTTGTTACTGATGTGTTAATGTGTGTCTGTCAAAATCATCCTACATGTGACGTTTTGTTGCAGTATCTATTTTTGTTGGTGCAATCCCTGTATTGTCACGTGTATGTTCGTTGGATTTTGTTGGTGTTTGCATATTTTACAAGTTCTGATTTCTGTCAGTTGTATGTTTAGTTTTGTTTTGTTGATGTCGCACAGCATGAGTGTCAAATGTAATATCTATAAGTAATTTTCCAAGATCCACACCATACAACTGTAATTTGTCTTTTACACTCATGTGTGTTGCTTAAGTCACCTTAAAACCAAATTCTTCTGGGTTTTATTTGATCACTCCGACTTTTTGGACAATAGTCATGACATGATCCTCCTTTCCCTGCCGACTGCCCCGGCCAGCACCGTGAAGGCGTTCGCAGCCCAACTTCTTCGATACCCTGCTGAGCACGTTGCCTCACGTGACCGTGGCGGCGCGAGAGAAGAGCGGCTGGGCAGGGGGAGCTGACTGGGTGACTGGGTGGTTCAGTTGGAGACTCATTGGAAATGGCCTTCCGTAGAGAGAGTAGCTATGGAAAATGGCCTGCTTACAGACAATTTACCATAATTTACCTGCTTATGAAGGTGAATTTAGCCATGAAAAATAATTGCAAGTTACATAAACGCTATATGTCCATACATGAGAGAACGCTATATTTCCACACTTCCAGTTGTATAACTCGACTTTTTCCATGGGAAAATTTCGACTTTTCAAAGTGGCTCCGCTGAGGTGCCAATTTGAAGTCCAGCATCCAGCAGTTTCGACAGGCCGAAGGGGCTGGCGAATCCATGGTGCAAAGGCATATTTAACGATGGAAAATTGTGGATTTACCGAGGGAAACGGAGTATTTACCTTAAGCCTGAGGAAAATGATGGATTGGCTCGCCTTTAGCCTTTGGCTAGACTCTTGGAGATGGATGGCGAGAGAGAGAGAGAGAGAGACCTTGGGAAAATGAGGATGTAGTGGATTTGGCTAACCAACTCGATATATCTTGATATGATATTCGGGTTCGTCTGGAAATGGGGTACGACCCCCAAATGTTAATGGATTTAATGGGAATTGGCAGACCAGGGGGCGCCCCATTTTCAAACAGATCCATTTCCACAATAAATTAGCCCTTAAAAAATGATTTGTTCATGATGATCAGAATGATCGTTCGCACTCCGGTTTGCATTCAATGGATGTAGTCCCATCCAACTATGATCCTAATCCTGCACCAGTTCTGGAACAATTCATTCACAACCGATGGTTTCATAAACCATCATCTCGTGAGTTTTCCATCCGTGAACATGTCACATTTGCTTTGACCGCTTCCCACGGAGGGAGTCGAGCAGTCACCTGTCCCCAAAAGTCGGGCTGCCAGGATTTCCATGTAAAACTTGACCATGGCATAGGGGTTACATCATGAAACCCTCAGAGTCTTGGATATCATTTCCGCGGCATTCGCATGGCTCTACTTTCAGTAGAATATCATCTACACGGATCATATGGGTAGTCAGAATCATAAAACATGCTTGAAACCCTCAGTGAATCGTATCATGGATAATTGTATATGATTGTGTGATATCGTCATCAAGATGTATGGTTCGAGATCCAACCACTGTCACTTCCTTTCAAGGCTCCAGAAAGGCCCCCCCACAGAAGCAGTGCCAACGAAGGTCACTATCATCCATGGATATCCATCCATGGATATCGATGGAGAACAGAACGATCAAAAATTGGCCGACGTCACCATAACATGGAATTTAGAGATGGTTTATCTATGGAAACCATCGCGGCCACGACCTATTTCCAGTGGAATTAGGTGGGAATCCTTGTCGACCAGTTTCGCTTCGGGGATGGCACCTACAAAAGCATCAAGACTTATCTGACCATAGCCATGGCATGAAGAGATGCAGATCCAGTTGGTCCAAGACCCATATAATTATTTCAATCAATATCAACCAATGATCCCCGAGCGACCGGACCGGTAGGTTTAATCCTCTATAGTTTTTTTTTCTCCATGGAAAATCACCATCACCGGTAAATGATTACTTTTCTGTGAGTTATCACAGGTTGACCATGGTTTCAATCTTGCGCACCCACTTTTGCGCCGTTCCAAACTCGACACAACGCCACAACGACACCTCCAGGAGTTGGAGTTTGCCGAGCGGGAACTGCATCAACTGGAAAAGCAGGAAGGAGAGCTGTCCGCGAAAGAGTCCATGCGAGTGACTCGGTGCGAGTCCAACGCTGCTGCCTTGGAGAGCGTGGTGAAAAGATGTCAGTTAAGTTGGCGTTTTTCCTCATGCGGTGGGTCGTCCCCAAGATGGCAATAATTTTTTAAGAAATTGAATTTGGCACACCACAATGTAATACAACACAGCCAAAAAAAAAAAGAAAACATAAAAGATTAAAAGTATGTATGTCCATTATGTCCAACCCAAATCTGGGACTGGGACAACCACCATATACTTGGGTAGATTATAGTGACTTCATCGTGACCTCACTAGAAATCACCACCTCCCCAGCGTGCGAAAACTCAGGTCTTGGTATCGCAGCTGCAGCGCGAAGTAGATGAGTTGACGGAAGCAGTTGACCCTTGGCATGCTAGGAGCGGTGAAGGCAGCTATGGGTATCCATAGTTCCCATGCAAAAGGGGAGCCAAGGAGTTACGAATTGAGTTCCTAACCACATGATGGACACCGAGATGGAAACTAGCCATGAGTTTCACTATTAAACTATCAAAAGTCCACAAAGAAAGCTTGGACTTCAGCAGCAGTGACCAGAGTTTCATATAGTTTAAACCGAAGAAGGATAAAGTTTAAAACAAAATGGGGATATCAATTAGTTGTATCAATTTTGGTCAAACGGTGTAAAGATTGCAATAGCCGCATGGGACTGAACTGAAGCATCAAAAATGGAGCCAGATGAAAAATGTTATAAGATATTAAAAGAACTAATTCAGCATACAACCCCAATAAGAACTATATTAACTACATATGGATTGACGAGTCTGAGTATCCTTTTTCCACTGATCAGCTTTTGAAAAAAGAAGCAATGCCAGGGATTGAGTGCCGGTTCAAGTGCGCGACATGGGCTAAACCCAGTAATAAGCCATCCCCATCCCCAATATCACCATAAATGAGTGATACAAAAAAAATATCGCCGAATGTTGCGTTGATTACCCCAGGCTTTACCACGTTTTCAAATATTTTGCCGGACTGGCAGTAGCTGGTCAATAGCGCCCCCCCCCCTAAGTATGCTCGACTTACTTCAGGGGTTATCGAACTACAACCCAGTCGAACCACCCCCCAGTGTACGATCCTTATTTGAAAATCAGAAACATGCCTTATTTGGATTTTGGCGATTTGAGGATCATGGGTTTATCCATGGAGTTTCTGGCCTTATTTGGAAATCAAATATTGCCTTATTTGGAAATTGAATATTGCCTTATTTGAAAATTGAATATTGCCTTATTTGAATCATGATGTTTTTTTGGATCTTTTTTGTATAGTATCTACACGCCTTATTTGAAAATTGACTATTGCCTTATTTGAACCGTGATGGTTTTTTTGTTTTTTTTGATAGTATCTACACGCCTTATTTGAAAATTGAATATTGCCTTATTTGAACCGTGATGTTTTTTTGGAAATAATTTCTGAAAATATTTACACGCCTTATTTGAAACTCAAATATGGCCTTATTTGAAACTCAAATATGGCATTTTTCCAGCAATTTCCCAGCAATTTTCACTGGCATATTTCCCACGCAAATTCACCAGCAAATTGCCTAGCAAATTCCTGGGCAATCCCTGCAAATTCGCTGGTAAATTCCCCAGCAAATTCCTTGCAGGTGGTAAATTTCTCATTTTTTTCTGCAAATCTTATCAGGCAAATTTTCCCGGCAAAATTCCTGGCAAATTGCATCACAAATTTCCTGACAAAAGCAAATTCCCCAGCAAATTCCCTGAGATTTTTTTTTGACTAATTTCCGCAGCAAATTCCAAGGCAAATTTCCCTGAAAATTTTCCTCGCAAATCTGTGAGCAAATTCACCACCAAATCCCCCCTGGCAAACGCGAATTTTCCCCAGCAATTTGCGCAGCAAATCACCTGGCAAATTCCTCGGCAAATTCCTGGCAAATTCCATCACAAATTTCCGGCAATTTCCCTAGCAAATTCTTCCCTAAACCGTGAACCCTGAACTCAAAACATTCAAATAGGCACTAATAAGCACTAGGGGTACCTGGAAGCCAGGGCAGGCAGAAGAGATGAAGGCAGAGGAGACTAGTGAGAGCTAGCCAGCTCAGTCCAGGCTGAGGAAGCCCTATTAAACACTAATAAGCAGTAATAGCTCCTTGGTGTAAACCCAGGAGATGAGATGACTGATCAAAGTAGCTCGTGGCTGGGGGAGGCTGCAGGGCTGGATGCTGGATTGGTGTGGGGCTGGAAGTAGAAGGCTATTGGGCACTAATAAGCACTAATAGCTTCTTGGGCTTGGGATGGGAGGTGGGGCTGAGCTGGCTACAACCACCAGGTGAGAGGGTAGGGCTGGGCTGCTGGATTGATGTGGGGCTGGGAGGTAGTCGGGTATTGAGCTGGGAGTAGGGAGGGTAGCGGGGGTGCTGGGCAGCACTGGCTACCAGCTACCCAGCTCTCCAGGCCCATCATAAATATGTTATTTGTGCTTATTAGTGCCTAGCAGGTCTTGCCCAGCCTAGCTTCGCCCCAATCCACAAGCCCAGCCCCCCAAACTCCCAAAGCTGTGGTTGGGCCTAGCGAGAGCTAGCGAGCTCAGTCCCACCTCTCAGCTATGGCCCTGGAGGCTATTAGTGCTTATTAGTGCCTAATAGGCTATGCCTGGCATGGCCTGGCCTACCCCCCTCCCAACCATCCCCTCACTCCCAGCTCAGTCCCAACTTATTAGTACCCAGTAGTGCTTATTAGTTCTTATTAGTTCCAGTTCCTATTATTTTCCTAAGGAATGTGTGTTCACCTAATCTTTTGGTCATTACTCTGAAAGCCTAATAGTACCTATTAAGTGTTATTAGTCAGTTTGCCCGTTTTTTCGCCTGAGCTCAGGTTCGGATCTCGGGGATCTGATCTCAGGCCGTGGCAACGTGGTAAGACACAACGGGAGAAGACAACAGGGGAAGACACAACAGGAAAACAGCAACGGGAAAATGATGCAAAATGAGAAATGTCACTTTTATGGTTTGTAAAGCAGAAAAAGTCGCTTTTGTAAGATATGGAAATTTATAGTGTAACAAATTTATTAGAAAACAATATTTGGAAATCCAAATTCCTTCCCTGGCTTCCAGGAGTACTTATTAATACTTATCTGGATATAATATGCAATGTTTTGCAATGTGTTAGGCATATGTGCATCCAAAACATATGCCTAACACATTGCAAAACATTGCATATTATATCCAGATAAGTATTAATAAGTACTCCTGGAAGCCAGGGAAGGAATTTGGATTTCCAAATATTGTTTTCTAATAAATTTGTTACACTATAAATTTCCATATCTTACAAAAGCGACTTTTTCTGCTTTACAAACCATAAAAGTGACATTTCTCATTTTGCATCATTTTCCCGTTGCTGTTTTCCTGTTGTGTCTTCCCCTGTTGTCTTCTCCCGTTGTGTCTTACCACGTTGCCACGGCCTGAGATCAGATCCCCGAGATCCGAACCTGAGCTCAGGCGAAAAAACGGGCAAACTGACTAATAACACTTAATAGGTACTATTAGGCTTTCAGAGTAATGACCAAAAGATTAGGTGAACACACATTCCTTAGGAAAATAATAGGAACTGGAACTAATAAGAACTAATAAGCACTACTGGGTACTAATAAGTTGGGACTGAGCTGGCTGGCCATTGCCAGGCACAACCACAGCACCGGGAGGCTGCTTATGTGGGTATCAGCTAATTGGTTCTTCAAAAATCTTGTGTCTTCCTTCCGGCAAAATTTCTTAAATTTCATGAAAACTGCTTGAAGGAACCCTAAAACCCTAAACCCTAAACCGTTAACCCTGAACCCAAACATCCAAATAAGCACCAATAAGCCCTAATAAGCATTACATAGCACTAGAGGCACCTGGAAGCCAGGGTGGGCAGAAGGGAGGGATGCAAAGGACAGGTTTTGCAGGAATGAACACATACAGTAAAATGCTGGCAGATTCCTATCATGCCAAATAAGCACTAATAAGCAATAATAATCAGTAATAAGGACTAGAGGCCCTAGGCTGTTCACCAGCAAATTGCCTGCCAAAATTTCCGAAAATTTTCTTGCAAATTCCTTGGGCAAATTTCCATGACAAATTGCCCGGCAAATTCCCAGGTAATGCCCCGCAAATATAACAGAAAATTTCCCCAACACATTCCCCTTAGCAAATTCCCATGACAATTTCCTTGATAAATTTCCTGGCAAATTCCGTAGCAAATTACTAGCAAATTTCAGCAGCAAATTCACATTCCCTTGCAAATTCACTGGAAAATTCTCCAGCACACCCCCCCTAGCAAATTCCACCAGCAAATTGCCTGTGGCAAGTTTCCCCAGGCAAAATTCCCGGTGGCAAATTTACCTCAAATTCCCAGCATATTCTTCTTGCAAATTTCCCAGCAAATTCATCGCCGAATTTCCCGGCAATTTCATGGCAAATTGCCCAACAAATTCCTGGGAAATTCCTGGCAAATTCCTGGGTAGAAGCAATCACTGATATGCACTAGTAGGCACTAATGGGCACTAATAGGGTGGAGGAGGTAGGGGAAAGGGATTGGTGGGCACTAATAGGAACTAATAGGTGTTAATATATAGGTATTACAGTTGAAAAATAAAGAGGCACTGATGGGTTGGAGGTTGGCTTCCAGAGATGGAGGGTAGGAAATTCCACAATTCCCCAGCAATTTTCGCAATCCCATAGCAAATTCCTATTTCCCCAGCAAATTCCACCCGCAAATTTCCTCAAATTACCGGCAAATTCCCACGCAATTTTCCCAGCAATTTCCCTAGCAAATTTCCGTGTCAAATTCCTCTTGCCTTATATTGCCTTATTCGAAATTATAATATTGCCTTATTTGAAAATCAGCTTTATCCCAAAGTCAGTTGCCGGTTTGAAATCCCGATATTGCCTTATTCGAAATTATGATATTGCCTTATTTGAAAATCAGCTTTATCCCAAAGTTGCTGTTTTGAAATCCCGATATTGCCTTATTCGAAATTATGATATTGCCTTATTTGAAAATCACCTTTATCCCAAAGTTGAGGTTTTGAAAGCATCACATTGTCTGTTTTGAAACCGTCATATTGCCTTATTTGAACCCGTGATATTGCCTTATTTGAAAAAGCAATATTGCCTTATTTGGATGCATTAGGGTCATTCAAAATGATGTTGTCTTATTTGTATCCTAATAGGCCTGAATAGTAACTATTAAGAGCCTTCTTATTAGCAGCTAATAGCAGCTAATAGCAGCTATTAGCAGCTATTAGCAGCTAATTGAAAATCATAGCAAAATCCTACACTGGGGGGTGGTTCGACTGGGTTGTAGTTCGGTAACCTCTGATTACTAGACACTTACTAATTGGAGTTATCCTCCCGACAAAATGGGTGGTGTGGCCAGTCGGAAAAGATGGGGAAATGCTATCAGACATGAGCACAAATCACGAGAAAGTTTACATATCGGACATATCGACGTCAAATGACCGAGCGTCACAAACAAAAGTGTGAATCTTCAGAAACCATCAATTTGACGTTTGAAAGCTCATCTAGCAGACTCTAGAGCTCCCTTGTGCTTGTTTAAATTTCATCTCTTTAAAAATATTTGTGCATCATAAGATATGCATACACATCATAACATCTAATTTCTGTTCGGCATGTACCCCAAGTAGACGCCCACTATACGTGAGCCCAAAATCTCTGGAGGAAGGCATCAATGTTGGCTAGAGTCAACTCAGACCCAAATGTCCCAGGAGACCGCTTGACACACATCACTTTGAGTTAGATTCTGACCTTTTCTAACCAATCGTGCAACCAATCGTGTAACCGGTAAGTAATCTGTGTGCTCCAAGTCATCCAGAAGTCATCCAGAAGTCATCCAGATACGCCCTGACCTCGCCGAGGATACTGCTTTTGAGCGCTGCGTGGAACTGCAGAAGTACTTCTGCACCGAGGTGGCGTGGTCTCCGGTCAAACGACGTGGCTGGGAAATTGCTGGGAAATCCGCTCAAAACATGAAGGTTTGAATGAAAAACCTTGGAAAATATAGAAAAAAAACTATAAATGAAGGTTTTAAGAGGAAAATCATCTAAATCTATCTATCTATATATGTTATAAACAAATATAAACATGAGATGTTCCATTGCCACGTTTGATTACCGGGTAAACAAACAATGGTCAATCCGGAAATCCTCACCTGCCATCATGGGGATATTGACCAACCATGGGGGTTTAATATGGTTTAATATGGTTTAATAGCCTGCACCCCCAAGCAATGTGGTACCCAAATTCGTTAGCTAAGTTGCTTTGATGTTTGCAGCTCCAGATTCACTAGGGTTTATGATACATATTATCGAAGTAGTTGAGCGTGGGTATAAGCCGAATTTTAATGGAGGGGCACCATTGTGCAAGTAAGGCACCACCAAATATATCCCATTATATAACATGTCATTATCGATATTCCAATCAAAAATCCAATACATATCCCCATCATACTGCCAAAAACAAACACAGGCCTGTTGGTTGTCTCATTCCAGTTGGCTTCTAAACCCAAGTAACCATAGATTTACCTTCCATAAACTATATAGTTCCCCTTATAGTTATTTATTACAAACCAGGTATGGCCGGTTGGAGTTGCGTGGTCCAGGACTCCTCCAGCTCCACCCCGGTCTTCGAGAACTTCTTCCAGTGTCTTCACGACTTCCTGGAGACGCTACGGAAGGCTGCGCTGCGAACGCGGGGAGAACGCAACGGGGAGAACGGGGAGATGTTTTTGTTGGTGGATGAATGGTGCATGTTCTGGGAGTCCAATGGGTGTTCTGTATGTAATGTAATGTATAGTATCGTATATTATAGTACAGTACAGTACAGCATAGCATAGCATAGCATAGTATAGTATAGTATTTTACATATATATATACATGTGTGTGTGTTATATCTATCCATGTGTGTTTTTACAGTCATATGATGTCATGTGCACTTTTTTGTAATATGTTATTTTGCTTTATTTATTCATTCTGCATAAATTTATGCACTACTTTTTGTGTCCTCGTTCTTTTTTCATGTTCACTGATTTGTACATTTCACTGATGTTTTGGGGTATAGTAACTATAGCTGGGGATATATCTATATTATGATATACTAATGGCTCATTAGCGCAAGGGTTTCATGTTACATCATCCGAACCCGCCTGAGGCGTGGCGTGAGACCGAACCCGCCAAGCCGCGCAGCAGCGGCGTTCCCGGGCGGCCGGGACCGGCCGGAAAGGCGCCGCGGGGTGGGAAATCCTGCAGCGAAAATGGCGAAATAGAGGTTTTGAGCATGAAGAAATAGGGATTTAGTGGATTCTTTGGGAATATCATAGGATACCCTTTGGTAAACTAACATAGCTATTAAAAATGGTGATTTTCCATAGCCATGTTAGTTTACCAGAGGGTAATCAAAGATGGCTCACTGGGAAGCTTATAGCTGGAGAATGCTAGGGAAATCATCGATATAAATGGGGAATGATGGGATATTTGTGGAGAAGAATCCGCCTGGATACTTGGAGGACACCCCACCGGTCTTCACCCAAATAATTAATGTGAGAACCGCAATGCCATAAGCCTACCATTTGGATTGGGGATGATTGTTACCATCCATTTATAGTGATTTGGGGGATGATTGATTATTGGTTTTACTACATTAGCGGGTAGTGGATAATAACCACATGAAATATTAAAAGTGGAAGAATTCCAGGTCGATGGATGGCTTATAAACATGTATAAACCCCATAAACGATGCCTGGGATGCGTATCCAATCAGCATGAAGAATAGCTTAAGCTTGAAAATATTCGTGCCATGGTCAAAAACATTGCTTATTTCACACCAACAAAAAAGGGTCATCCCTACGAAAAAATAGGGGGTAACGTATCGATATAGAGGTTTTGAAGTGACTATAACCCATTTTGGTGGCCGTTTCCCAATATTTATTTTATTTTTTGTGGCTTACAAGAAGTTTCTATCCCCACAATTTTTACTGTGATGTCCTTATTTGTATCTTATATTCTGCGGATCACATGTTGGTTAAATGTTTGTCTTGGTGAAATATCTCAACTTTCGCTATACGCCCGCGGCAAGTTGGGGCCGGATCGGGGCACATCATATGAAATTATAGTCCCGGTGGGCTATTGTGGAATATATAAAATTATATAACTACATATGATGTACTATAGTTTAGTTATATTTCTATACATATACATATACATATATAATCATGTATATATATATGTGTGTGTGGGTGCGTAAGGAAACATAGTACTATTTTGAATATATATATATATACATATATATATATATTGTCTAGTAGTATAGTTAAGATAGGATGTGCAGTTTGGGAAGATGCTGACCAGCCATTCTACACAGGTGCTTGCCTCGTGGAGACTTCGCGGAAATTTCCAGGAACGCACCATATTTTGTTTGTAAAGATCCTGTCGTTTGAGACTTTTATGTGCATAAGTTCGGCAAACCTTTTTGGAACAACGAACACACACATATATATATATACATAACATATATATATTTTTTTTTACATAAATATATATACATATATATATACACATATCTTGACAAAAATAAGATGTAGACAGAGTTGTGTTTTGAATCCCCATGTTTGTTTCTAAGTCTATATGTTCTCGAAATTACGGACGGGTGGACGTGTTGAGTAAATGTCCATTTCGGGTTGTATTTACCCCAATGTTCGTGAAATTTTACAGACTGTTGACAAGTTGTTCTAAAGCAACCAACAACAAGTGAGGGCTGACTGTTGGTCAATGAACCCACTTTAGCCATCTCTAGCCCATTGCATCTATGATGCTCTCCAAATCATTCAAATTGATTTACATTCCCCTAGAAAATGCTGTCCATAAATTTCCGGCATCAATTCCTCCAAATCCTGTTTGTTGTCCAAGAATTGGTTGAAAGGAAAAAGAACAAAGAAACTTTCTACTTTATGGCAAAGACATGTTTTCCTGTAGGTTTCCCCGTGAACCAATCCATGTTCTACAATCGGTAGCCCTGACTCATTGGTTTCACCCTAAAGAATGCATAGACATGACTTATTTTTGATGCTTCTAAGGTGTCCCCCATTTTGGGAAACCTCTGGGCCCAGCAATGGATGATCCAGGTCACTCCCGTTGCCGCTACCACATCCTTCACGGTCATGGTGAATCCCCCAAAATTTTCTTGGTTAAGACGAGCATTGATGATTTTCCATTAAAATCTCCCAGTTCATAGAGAAGTTCCCACGACTTTAGTGGGTTATAGCTTACACCTTTTGGTAAACTAACATAGCTATGGAAAATAACTAGTGTAATTTTAATAGATAAATCATTTATAAATGATCCATTTTCCATAGCTATGTGAGTTTACAGGGTATGCCGCATCTTTTTTGGCCCCAGTGACACTGAACCGCTTCTTCATCCCCTGCATGGCGCGATGGTGCCACGCCGCGCTGCTGGCGCTGGGGTTCGGTGCCCTCGGTGAGCGCGACGATGGCGCGCTGCTGCAGATCGGGGAGAAGCACAAGTCCCAGGTGCCCAAAAAAATGCCAGGGAATTGGGTTTTGATGGTATTTAATGGAATTCAATGGGATTTATTGGAACTTATTGGGATTTAAAGGAACTTATTGGGATTTAAAGGAGCTTAATTGGGTTTTAAAGGAACTTAATGGGACTTGAATAGGGTTTTGATGGAATTTTAATGGGAACCCATAGGATTTGGATCTGGGAAATGATGATAGACAATGGCAAATTATAGTTATAATGGGTAGGTATGCCGTCAGATTTTGGTGATTTATGGGGGGTATTAACCCACAATACTAGGGGTTAGCCATGGCGAACCAAAAAAGAACTGATATTAATTAATACAATGTTAATTAGTTTTTATAATAGTTTTATACTGTCATTGTTTGCTAAAAAAATGAGGATGAATATACATACTAACCAGCTAAAATGTTTTTTCCGAGAGATCTTTGATCCTTTGATATGTGTTTCAATTGTGTGAAGATATGGGTTGGTCCAAACTGCAGGAGACCCGGTAAAATAACCACTGCAATGAGCGATGATCAACCCATGAGGTTTTGGGGCAACCTTGGGGAATGTAGAACTCCCAACAGATGTCAATATGGAGATTACTTCCTGTTAGGTGAACCACAGAAATGCCAGAACCCTGAACAAGTGGACATGCAACCATCTGGGAACACTGCAGCGCAGCTTCAATCTCCTGTTTGGGGCTTGTTTTGGCAGATAGGGTCGGCCTTACAGAAGTCAGTCACGCATGCCGCGAAATATTTCGATGAGAATGGCATGTCGGAGGACGACTTCGAGTCATTCCTGGTCATATACCTTGAAAGCAGTCGAGTGCCACCCTCAGAAGCAGCTGGCAGCCATCATAGGCTTTTCAACTATCCATATCAAAGACACAACAGTCGTGAGACTGCCTCAGGGCTGCTCCAATCTGGATCAATGTACTGGGGGAGCGCTTGCTTTCCAAAACATTTCCAATGGCAGCTGGAAAGGGCTTGTTTTCATCCGGTCAATGCAGTATGATGAGACCCCGACCAAGTTGCGGCTAACTTCTGGGAGGCTCCCCAGATTTAATGCCAGCTTCTCCTCCTCTCCTCCTTGCTTGCTGGGAATCAGTGTGCCAAATGGAGTTGGGGGCAGTAGTTGTGAGCCATTGTCAAACATGTGCTTCACTCACATACGATTGATGATGCTTTGTGGCCTGGTTTGGGGGGCCAATGCGAAAGCCGCTGTGATCTTTATTCTGCTGGAATTTCCATGTACAGCGTTTTTTTCTGCAGTGGAATCCCCAAGTAAGAAATTGTAAACTGTGAGTTTAAGTGTATATATATATATAAATATATTATGTGTGTGTGCTCCATGATGGCTAGAGTCAAAGACTTGTCCACATGTTCCAGCATCTTCCCAGATGGTGTTTCATCCCAAATGGCTTTATGCTGGTCATATCCTCTCATGTGCTGCCTTCATAGTTGCACCCTGTGTTCAGCTGTTTCTTGGGTTTGATGTAAGCCATGTAAGCGTTAGATTCAGATGTGAGGCTCGCTCGGGGGCAGTGATTTTCTACAACCTCTTCATCAGGCACAAACGGGTCAACAGTGGCTGGTGATCCAATCAGACAGCCCCAGAAATGATGACTATAGCAGAGGGGATCAACCGTCCTAACATGGTTCGTTTTGGGTCTGTTGTTCTCTTGAATATTTCTTCAGAAATGGCACAATGGTTATAGTATGTTATAATGGTTTGGTCCGATGCCAGGGCCAATTGGCAAATTTGGATTGGGCATCCCAAGTGGATGTTTAGTAGCCCTGATCCAAGCCCAAAGGGGCTGTACATTCACATTCAAGTAGTTCATCATCCCCCCAAGTGATCAGAAGAGTCGTGCAGGTTGTCGACTGCCTATTAGCGCGAACGAGCCCAAGAAATGCTTGCCACACGGAAAATCGTTTTAATGCCTGCTTACATTTCAGAAATGGCAACTATATATATATATTTATTTATTTATATAGCATCCGCACATTTATGCCTACACATTACAGTATTTGGTGATACAATGAATTACATTCATGTGGCAGTTCATGAGATCAAAATATTTCAGGTCAACCCCCGGTCATACAATGGATCCTAGTTGGTTCAGAATGCTGGTGCCCAAAGTAGGTTTGCCGTGTGGTATTCTCCCAAACATGGGAACACCAAGTGCCCAGATCAAGACCTTTGACCCAGATAATCTCAGCCTGAATAAATCCCAGTTGAAAAAGATTCACAATGGTAGCCCCTGTATTGTTTCAAAACGAGGTCATGGGTCATGTATTTGGAGTAGGCAAGAGACGACTCCTGGCTCAAGTCACTGCCATGCAATGGCCCTGGTCATTTCTTGAAGTTCTTGGCTGATCAATGGTAGGTGAAAAATGGTGAACAATGGTGAACATGGTTTATGCGTCAGTTTTTGCCCTGAATGGCGGACATTTTTGGACTTGGGCTTCCTAAAGATTGTTTCTTCCATGGTATCCAAGCGTAGCCATAGATTTTGCAGGGTTTCAAGGTATATATACTTTCCCAACATTTGTCCAGCGTATCCATGCTAAAAATTGGCAATCTGAATCCTTTTGGTGGTCCCCATAGCTCAAGACACACCCAAAGTCTTCCCGTTTGCGATTGGTGCGTCACACCGCGTCAGGTCAGAGAAAGATATCCCACGGGTCAGAGAGATAGTTTCCGGGCAGCGATTCATACAACAGAGGCTTGTGTTGTATGACCTTTGCATGTGGCCATGTTTTTTTGGGAACAAATATGTCAAGTACTTGCATGAACTTCAAGTCCCGAAGTCACTGCAAAGTCACCTAGAGGATTGACATCCCGAACATCCCTGAGATCTTGCCCTTCCAGACTTGGCTGAAATATGCTGTTAGGAACCTGGAAAAACCAGGCTTGCCTGCGGTGTATCCCTCATATCAACCCCCAATGAGTGGTCAGAAGTATGTGTATGACCTATCCGACCTATCGGTCTTTTTTAATCCAGAGAATGAGATGAGTATTCCTTCATTGCATTGAATCCATTAGGATCTAAACGTGTGCTTGATACTTCCATTAGAATCCATTGGTGACTCAAACGTGTATTGTGCCACCCTGTGGGTTGCTGATGGCAACCTCACCCAAGCTCACTGCCAATGATGGTCAGTATCAATGGGAAATCATAAGTTCAATGTTTGGCACAAACTATGTTTTTGTTGGTTAACAGTATTGGTCCATGTTTGTTTAATGCTTAATTATATTTAATTATACTTAGATCATGTATACATGTGTTATAGAATGTGTTTATATGATATATGCATAGATATATATATATATATGTGTGTGTTTACATAAATACACAGAAATACACATAATTCCATTTGCCTCGGCTGCCTTTTTTTAGTCATATTAGTTGGTGAGTTTCCCCTCGTCATCAATCGCCTTTTTATAAATGGGCAATTATGGGCACCTTGTCGAGCTGATCAGAGCAGCAAGCCCTGAAGGTTCATGAACAGCTGAATCTGGTGATGGATCCCTTGGACCAAGAAATTCGCATCAATTCCATTGGAGCTTTAAAGATCCTTGGCGGAAGGGACTTGCTGGGGTGGGCATTGATTGTAGCAATACCCAAAAACATCTTAAACCACGTTAAAACGAATATTGAAACATAGTGCTATTATATGCTATTATGCTAATTGTTTATTTGGTAAACCCAAGAAATCCCAACAAGAAAACTTCCAATTTGGGGATGTTTTTGCCTTTAAAGCAGCTGTTTCTGGTAAACTTGTGGCTGCAGGTCGCCTCCCATCTGAGGAATCTGTCAGGTCTGAAGTTGTCCAAAGACCTGGAGAAAAGCACCAAACTCCTGGCACACTACGATGCAGCTGGGGCTCCAAATATGGTACCATATGGCGACTGAAAATGGGGCGTACCACCCTGCTAATGGCCACAAAGTAGATGGGAATTCACAACAATTAGTCCATTTTTATCGGTGATTTTGGAGTATACCCCAGTTTTGCACCAAGATATGGATGAGTCCAGCCCGTTTATGATTGTATTGTCAATATGGTTTGTAATTGGGCTATATGTATATATATATGTACACATATATAATATATAAATGGATTATGGGATTATGGATTGTATGTGGGTGATATGTTGGTTTGGAATTCACTGACGACGCTTGGGACAGAGATCATATATGCTGTTAGGATAAGTCAATGTACTGGGAATACTGGGGCCATCTTGAGCAAATCCAAGCGAATGGGGTAGGTACGCCGGTGCATCCACTGGTTGATCATCATTTTCACCTTGACATAGTTGGTTTTGGAGGGTGTGCCAAAAAAAAATCAAGCACACCCGACTATCATATCAAGCTGGTTACATACATGTATTTTGTGTATATACCTATATATATATACATACATATATATATATACAGTATATGAAAAGTTTCAGGACCGCGGGAATGATTTTGTATATTCACAATATGTGTATATATATTTATATATATAGATTAGATAGGTCCATGACATCTCAAAAAGTATACATACCCATTGTAATTATAGTTCACCATGCTTTACCAGTTTTCACTTAATAGAATAGCCATACAGTTTCACTATCGCCATCTGTCTTTATATCCGAAAAGCTGCTGGCCATCAAGGAAGGTTTCGAGGACTTGACGTTGCACGACCTTTGGTCCTTCTGTAAGGGCACGGACCCGCAGCAGCGGCTGGGTGATGTCGTGGCACTGGGCATTGGCCCCGGAGCGATCTATCGCCGGTGAAAAATGGAAGGAATGCACCAACAAAAATGGTGAGTTATAGTTGATATAGCCGATTTATGTCAGTTAAAGTGATAAACCTAGCTCAACTCTTGGATCTGTGATGATTATAACTATAGGTGGGTGAACGGAAAGCAACTTATAACTAGGCACCACCTGGTAGGTGATTCCGGGTTACTGGGTAAACCAAGAGGATCAATAGAAGAAAATATGCTGGATAAACCCACTGGTGACGGGTTCTTTAAGGTACATTTTCAGTTTCTGTTGCAAATGGTGATATATATATATATGTGTGTGTGTATGTATATACACATACCAACCAGGTGTTTAATTTACATGCAGGATACCAACATTGGCGATTGTTAATAACCCATGTGATATCAACCCAGGATTCATAAACTCGCACCTTACCAATAGGGGCGGTGCCATGTTCATAGCATATTCTTTGAACTGATCATATAACATCATTTCCGCGGGGTTCCCCCACAAATAAATCAACACACATAAACAAACAAGTAGTTTATGAAGCCGAGGGTTGCATTATTTTCTGGTTCTTCCCTTCATGGGCGTATTGATGCACATCCAACCAGTGATCCAGGTTTTAGATGGTCTTATAGGCTTATGGGTGATCTTTTTTTCCAGAAATAATATGGTACCCCAAAATTTAGGAACTGTTTTCTCCATAAAAGTTGCCATCTTTTCAGGGTATCCCAGAATTTTGGGACGCCCCACGTTTTCGTAAGGGCCAAATGATCCAGACCTTTGACCCTCGAATAAAGATGGACGAGTCATACTGTTTGTACTTTGTACATATTTTTTTTTGTTTTCCCTTCACGGCGCAGAGAAGCTCACGCTGCGGCCAGGTTGCCAAATGAATTCATGACATGTTCACCAAACGTCACCCAGCAAAATCCTTTCCGAAGTGGTCTGAAAAATGCTGAACAAGAAGAGACTGACACTTCGAAAGAAAGGTTTCGGCCTGTGCAGAGTCAGTAGAAATTGGTACTGACTTCAAATGGGTGAAAAAACATTTGGCAAATGCAAAACAGAGCGCAGGCGGGTACTCCTTGAGTTTGGACGTGGCCCATTGGCCGTCCGACTGGAGTCCAATAGCACTGCGTCTTGGGGGTTGGTCACAAACTGTGCACTGATGCAAAGCCGCCGGCAGCCCTGGCAAATTCAGACTCAGCAGCTGCGTAGGCTTAGGAGAAGGCGCACCAAAATGCCCTTGCATGATTTGGAGGACCTCCACACCAGGCAAATGCGTCAGCAATATCAGAATCTGCAACTTCCAAATTGCCGCCGCATCTTCGGCGTCTGGTTCCGCTGGATGCTCAAGGATACCAACTCCGCCACGTAAAGCCAATCGAAACAGGCAGAAAATGGAGAAGAGCAAGAGGTCATTTCCAATAGAAATCTGCGCGAGCTCTTTCAAGCCCAAGGCATTAAGTCCCCAAAGCTCCGCAGCTGTTCTGATGACGCGCGGTCCTCTCAAAGGGCCTTTTGCATCCACTGCAACACCTCGAGCCTTACTCCAGGTTTCGCATGGCGGGCCGCCAATGAAGCCTACAACCCACGAACAGTCAATGCCGTGATACCAAAAATCCTGCGTAGAACGCAGGGAGGCATCTCCAAGCGTGCTGTCGTAAATGATGTCCATCGACACCGCATGGATGTAGGTGCCATCCTCACAGGTCTCAAGCATTCTGTCCAGATAATATTGAAAATCGCCTGGACGCCGTCGGCCTGCGAAAGCATGCAAGACAATGCGATGTCGTCCCCAGCTACGCGGAATGCTGAGGGCTTGAGGGTCCCAATCAATGGCTCCGCAAGCGGTCTCAATCTGCTGAAGGTCTGTGAAGTGCTCAACCGGGACATAGGAGTCCTCAATGATGAAGGGCCATGCACCAGGAGTCTGCAAACACTTCACAAGCCTCACAACATCCTCGAAAGGAAGTTCACCTAGGTCCTGAGCTTCATTTTCAAGGTTGGTGCGAAGCTCATCCAATGTGGCAAAGCATCGGGTCCACGAGAGCGGCTCCAGGGTGATCCGATCTCTAAGAACTTGTTCGAGTGCAGAAAGGGAGGTCGCATGCAGGATATTCAGAGCCAAATCCCCGTAGAGCTCGTCCAAAATAAGCGAAAAATCACTGCACCTTTGAAATTCTCTCATGGGTCCTTCAGCGCGTAATGGCGGCAGAAGTCCATCAGTGCACTGTTTCATTTCTTCATCAACAGACGAGCCAAGGCCTGGTGCCGGCGTATGCAGCAGCCGCATGCCATGCCATCTCTGTCGGCAATGATCGCTTCGAATAAGGTGATGCTTCAATTTGCCAAATGAGAAATACTCAGTGAGGCAAATGGCGCATTGAGAGGTCTGGAGCAATTGGCGAACAGGATGTGCAAAACCATGGACTTTGAACATGTGCGCCCCCTCACCAGCTTTGCTTTTACAGGCAAGTTGGCATTTCATGCATCCAAAGGCTTCCGCATCTGTACTGTGGTGACGTAGTGGAGAAGGCACGACAAAGCCATGATGGCGGAGGAGGTCAAAGATATCGTGATGCGTCTGCAGCACACGGTGCTCCTTCGCGCGTTGACCGGCAGCATGGTTTGCGGCTCTCATGGTAAGTCGCTTCCAATAGCTGGGCTGGTACCGAAGGATGTCCAACCATTGGGCAAGATGTTGCTGCGGATCTTTCAGGGGGCTTGAGTTCCCCAGTTGCCGAAACATCCATTGCATGTCATCTTCAATGAGTCGCTTCCAATCTTGATCAGCATTAAGAAGGCCCCATGAAACGACTTTGCCCGCTGCAAACAAAGTGCGTAAATAACGCAGGCGCGAGACCCGCAGCAATTCAGTGGGGCTTGGGAGTCCCGTCTGAATGATCACAAAATCATCTGTGACCTTCTCATCTGGCCTGACTCCAAGGAGTCTCTTGTAAAGCTTGACAACCGCAGCATGAAAAAGGCCTTTGGTCTTCTGGTCAGCAATGACCCAGGAATCGGTACCGTAAAGCAGCCTGCTCAAAACCAGGCAGCGAAAAAGCTCGGCCCTCTTCTTCAAAGGGATTGCCTAGAAGCCCACGAGTTGCTACCGCCTAAGCCATTGTTCTGGGTCAATGATGACAATACCATCCCATTGTGGAGAACCACCCTGTGGACGCATGAAGAAACTATACAGTGGTTAGCTGAGACCGGAGAGCCGTACCCACCTGAATTGCGAGATGAAATTCAGCCACGCATTGACCAACTTAAATCTTCGCAGCATGCGAAACGGGCACAACCTCCGCCTCCGCCGCTACCAACCAGGTGGACGGAGCGATCCGCAGCAAAGCAGCCAGTACAAAAACTGCAAGCAGATACTCCACAGGACCCCAAGGGTACTCAGAGCACGCCACAGCAAGTGGAGCTTACGGTGCTGGGTGAAAGTCTGGTGCGCGATGCCAATACGCCGCCGGATCTCCTGCTTCAAGTCTCCTCCATGGTGCAAAAGGCCACCCAAATGCTTGTAGGTGCCAACAATGGGTACCTGGTAGAAACCATGGTCCCCAAAGACAGGGAAAAGTCTGGGCGAAAGTGGGCCAAACCACTGCTTGCGAAATGCTCTTTGCCCTTTGCCGCGCATGGAGAACATGATTTCGGTCTTCCCGCGGCTAAGATTCGGTGTCATGCCATGTGTCTTGCAAAGGTCAAGAAGATACCCGGTGATGAGAGCAGCATTGTTGGCCAAGGCATCTAACGAGCCAGAGCTCATGCAAATACATAAATCATTGCACCAGCATGGTCCTAAGAAAGGTTCTGTGCCCGCATGTGGTGCTTCATCCTGCGGTGCGTCAAACCAATTCGGGCCAGCTGCTGCATGAGAACTCTCACCAATCTCCAAATGGTCAACGTGGGCCTGCAATTTGTGGAGGACTTTTGCCCACAGATATCCAAACACCACATCTGCAAAGGCATCTCCCGGCCTGCTGCCAAGGGGGGTCCGACAGGCATCACCTTGACCTCTCAATTGAAAGTGAGTGTCAGTATGGATGGCTCTGAGTGCTCGTTGCGCATGCAAAGGCAACTTGGCATCCTCAATTGCACCAGGTTGCGTCAGCAAGCTTCTCAGCTCCGCAATGACATCAGCATCCAAGTGTAAACGCGCTGCCATGGCGCCGATCACATCATCGGAGAGCTCGCCTGAAAGCGCAAGTGGGCGAACAACCCGATAAAAGGCTTCGGTTAAATCAAGGAATAGTAGTGCAGTGGGCCTCCCCCGTGCTTTGTGATAGCGGAGGAAGGCTCTGGCTTGATGTGTGCCCAGCGTAACTGGCGTGTGCCTTCTTCCGCCAAGTTGTTGTGCATGCATGCACGTCTCGTACACACTGGCTTGCTTCAAGCGAAGAGCTCTATGAAGAGTCGTTCCAAAATGGGAGCTCAGCAAAATGCTTCGGAAGGATGTGCAGAGGCTTTTGTCTCCCTTGCCTTTCCAAAGGGGCACTAGAGTGCCACCCTTGTGTTCGAGGCACTCTTGGGCTTGCAGCGCAATCTTCAGCAAGACAGAGTATCCATGCTTCGCCATCTCCACAGGAAAACAATGGAACAATTCAGATGGTAAAAGGTCTGGTCCACTTGCCTTGCCCTTCTTGACTCTTCTAAATGCTGCTTCAAGCTCAACCAAAGAGGGGACATCACAAACATCAACCTCCAAGGTGTCGACGGTGTACGCAGCAAGATTGGCAAGCCAGAGTTGGCGCTGTTCCGATGCAGAAATGCGCTGACCACCTTCCATGCACATGAAAAAGTTGATCCATCTCTCAATGGCAGCAGAAGCTGATTGGCAAGGGTGGCCGTCTTCATCGAGCACTAGAGGCAAAGGGCGCGGACCTTGTTTGAGTGCATTGGACGAACCCAAGAATGGCCTCATAGTGTTCATGATTTCCGATGCTGAGTTCAAGTGAGCAAGCTGGGCAATTTTGTCAGCCAAGACCTGCTTCTTAGAGGCACTGAGCTGCACCTTCAGCTGGTGACTGGCCTTCCATAACTTGGCAGTAGTCGCAATCACTGCACAGCGCAAAGTGCACTCGTAGTTGAAGGACAAATCATGACAAATCATCAAGATCTGCAACATGGCCAAGTTCGCATAGATGTTGAAGCCGCCAACATTGAAAAACTCTGGCCAAAGATTCACGAGAGACGGCTCTCTGGGATCGTTGAAGCTGTCGTCTCAGGCAAAGTTTGCTGCGGCGTAGAGCCCAAAGCTCATCAGTCAAGAATGCCTTCTTTGGCCTCAGAGCTGGTTTAGGGCAGTGTTGGGTGAGTTCTTCACGAAAGAATTTGTTCAAAGTTTCAACATGCGTCTCAATATCCGTGCTCCAGTCAAGCCCTTGTGGAATGGAGAGTGGCCGCTTGAGGTCAGCTTCAGAGATGGAGACACGATTACAGGACCACTGTCGGGAAACAGAGTGTTTGGGCGAGGTGTCAAAATGCTCCTGCCACGAGAGTTCCAATCCAACAACAAGGTGGTCCTCATGCATGGGGTTGAGATCAAATTGATCAATCGTTTGCGTCCATGTGCAATGCAACAGAGCCGATCGTGGGATGGCAACGTAGTCGATGAGGTGGACATCATTGCCATCTGGTGCAACCCAGGTGTGGCGAGGTCCCACATGCAGGGCGCTTGTGGAAGGCAAGCAAAGCTCATGTGCCTCAAGAAACTGTCTCCAGAAGCACGTGCTGCTACTGGTCGGAAACCCAAGTCCTAAAACGACACGATGATCGCAAGGTCCAGGTGCAGCGTTGGCATCAATCAAAGTGAAAAGAGGAAGCTCCGGAGCAAGTGAGTGGATCAGGTCTGTCGACTGCTCCCACCATTGTGTACGTGCAGATAAAGAATATCCGCTATGTGGCGCATGGCCAACGAAAATAGTGGCTCGCCAAATGGGGCAGTGCACAATGACAAGCAGCCTTCTGGGATCTCTGTGTAAAACTTGAAAGTCGGTCGCCTTCAGAAAATAAGGCTGTCGACCACAGTGTCCAATGGGCTGCTGCAAGTTGCACCAGAGTTCCACACCGAAGTTCTTTTTGTCGGCACCTGAGCACAAGCGCAAGAGTTCTTGATCACAAAGCTGGCCCTCTTTCGTGCGGGCTTCTTGCACTCCCAAGAAGTTCAATTGGAAGCTGCGAAATTGACCCTTCAGGTAGTCAAGTTTTCCTGCTAGCCCTTTTGCACCTACACCAAGAGTTGAGACATTACCAGAGGCCAAACTGATACGCAGGTCAAACTCTTCTTTAGCATGAAGAGGCGCAGGTTGAGGCAAGTGCATAGCGGAAGTGACATCTGTTGGCATGTCAGGCGCATGCACATCAAAACCGCTTCCACAAAATGCTGGGCTACCAAAACGCTGCCCAACCAGCAGCCAGAGTGAAGGTAAGGTATGTTGCCATTTCCGCAGGTTCACATCAAGACGTGGCAGAAAATGGCTCTTCTTCGCTTCAGCTTTTGCGATGGTATCGACAGCTTCATTCCATGGGTCATTGTTGTGCCCATAGAAGAACTGGAAAATGCTTCGCAAAAGAGTGAAGGACAAGTCAACATGGAGCGAGCCAATGCTGCCTGTGGCTTGTCCACATGTTAACCAAGAATCACTACGAAAGATCGTGGGAGTGTTGACGTTCAATGTGGCTCGCCACAAAGCCGCAAAGAAAAGCCCTTCTCGCTCTGCGATATGCGAACTCGTCTTCATAGCTCCTGCAAAATTCGGGCTGTTTGGATCATATCGCACCTGTTGCGCCTGCCAACCAAGCAGGTGCAGCGTGGAGCTGCCTTCCTCAGTGTAGCACTCTCCGAGGACCAGAAACGCCCAAGCATCAGGTAACCCTTCAGCATCAACTCTGAGCGGCGGTAAGTGTTTCTGGCTCTGAGAAGGGCGACGCTGCCAGTCCCAATTGCTGGAGTCCTGCGCATTTCCACGGTACGTAGTGTGCCTTGTTGGAGTCAAGGGTCTGCCATGAGCTGGGGCGGCAATTTCCTGGTGGTTTCTGTCCATGCAAACTTCCCAGTATTGGCCACAGGCTGGGCAGTAGAGATCGTTCCCTTTGATCATGCGTCTGCAGTCCATGCATTTCCATGCCGGTGTCTTCATTGACGCCATTTCCACTGAAATGCGACGAAGAAACACTGGGTCCTTGGAGTGGTGAGAGCTCAACGTCTGCTTGATACGGAGCAAATCCCTGAAATCCAAGAGCTGGATGCCACGGCGATGCAGATAGAATCGGAGCCTTGCTTTTGCCCTTGCCCTCCTTGCAGCACGACGCTGTCCCGTCAAAGTCGTGGTCTAATAGACACTGGTCGATGCCCTCAGCAAAGATCGAAACCAGGTGGAGGAAGAGCAAAATTGCCCAGCACATACACAAAGGCCCCCGCAAAGGACAAAGCCGGCAAGGAGACACAGAGGAATGTGTAGACGGATGCAAGGAGCAATGGTGGTGATAGGCTGCCCTGTCCTATCAGAGCACAAGGAGAAAGCGAATGGAGGAGCCGCGCACCAGCTGCCACCAAGCGCCCGCGGGCTGAGCTCCAATAGCCCGCTAAGATAACACGGCACGGGGGGTTCCTGAGCCGATACCTTTGTACATATATATATATCTCTCTTTTTACATATATATATATATATATACGCATTTGTGTAGAATTGTATATTTATAAGCAAATATGGAGTTGGTTCATTTACATTGTTAAATATATATATATATACAGTATATATCTCTGTTTGGGCTACTACTGGGACATGAAGCACCTGACAGCATTGACAAACTCCTGTCCAGAGTTGTCCAGCTGGGCCGAGGTTCGTGGTTTATTTGCACTCGAAGGGTTCCTTTCATTCTTGGAAAGGCCGGAACGGCAACTGGTCTGGCAAAAAAACTGTGTTGCTGCATCTGGTTGTTGTGGAAGACATCTGAACCGTTTCAAAAAAACCCAGTTGCCTGATGATTATTTAGGGGATTCACTGCAAGTTTTACTACCCGATATACCCCAATATCTTTGGGATTGATATCCTAATGATACTTTATTTAAATCGCCAAACAGTGTCTACATAGAGACTTTTGACACTGCTCGTTTTTCTGCTAAGCAATTTGTCGCTTCGGACATCAGTCTTTGATGACACTAGACCTTCCATTTTGTCGGCTTCAGTCGTATACTTACCTGTTGGATGCCCAAGCCATTCGGTCTTTTGTCCTCCCTGAAAAGAGACATGGAACCAAATAAAAGACAAGGTTGACAACATCCAAGTCGCCACATCACCTTCCCCATTTTTTTCAGTAACTTATGATGTGATATGTTTCGATCGTATCAAAACATGTGTGTGTGTGAGTTACCCTCGGGTTATTTGTTGCATAGCCATTGAAAATCAGCGAGATATAGTTCGATAATTGACCTCTTCAGAAGTGTGATTCCCCACGTCCAAAACTGCAACACAAATTACCAGAGGGTAGCATTGGTTATATCCTGTCATATCCTTATTATATCTACCATTAATCTTTGTTTGTTAGTGAAACCACGTTTGTGCGTTAAACCAATGAAACCTCATGAAATCCATGTCAAATCCCATTGAATCCTATCATACCCCGTTAAATGGTTAGTTAAATCCCATGAAACTATGATTAGTTTGGATATTGATCGCATCCTATTAAATGGGTTGGTAACATGTCTTTAAATGATGAGTTGAATCCTATATGTGAAAAATTATCATTATATCATTATATCCGAAAAACTTAAAATCATATCTATTGAACGTATCGGCAAATCATTGCAAATCCTTATGTGATTAAATGGTCAGTTCAATCCTTGGTTAATCTTATCGTTAAATCAAAAAAAACACAATATTTTCCAAGGGTGAAGTTCCCAGTTGGCCACCCGCCTTCTTCCCTTCTTCCAGCTGAGGCAGACAGCGCTACTATGTGACTTCTGGGGCTCTTTCGCAGGAAATCCCATGGGAATCATGGTACGATGGCATGGTTGACTTGAACTTTGACCATGAAAAATGCTGGTTTTATATGATTTGATATGCTAAAAAACTGGGATTAATGACTAATAGTGCAGTTTAATGGGACGTTTTCGAGATTTTGAACACACTGCGAACAATTTTGCCATTGTTTCTAGCAGGAGTGTATGCACATGCCAAAGCAATGCATCTTGGCTAATGGTGGGTGGAGGCGACTATTTCTTCCTGGGAATGTTCAGGACCCTAAAATGGAGGTACTGTACGGATATTAGAAATATTTTGGGAAACATATGGAAATATATGGAAATATCTTCTTGCATAGGCCTAAAAAAACAGGCCTTATATATGATAGGTACCTCCAATAAATCAGTACCTGACATGGCCATGATTGCGCAAAAAGTGAAACTGACATGTTTTTGGGTTGGTCAGCGTTCCCCGGATTCACAATTGTTGTTGGCTGAGGCGCAAATTGAGTTGCTGAAGCTCATATTTTAGGGCAACCTCGGTTTGGTAAGTTATAGCAACACGGAAAAAGAGAACACGTAATGTTACATTCTTTTTCTGGCTCAAGTTCGATATTGAAACAACCCGTCGTTGAAGGACTGCGCCATTGCCTCCACCATGTTCAATTTGCTGACTGTGGCGTTTCAGGTGGGGTGCCTGGCTCTGCGTTGGCAGACTGACTACGACCATACGTGGATGTTACAAAGCCACGGCATGTCAGTGAGAACCTTGCCACATCATATTCACAGACAATCGCTATATTTTGATGGCAGGGCCTGTGGCAAGATATCAGATATCACCTGGATTCCACAGCTGAACATTTGATTGCACCTCTACACGAAGCAGGTTGGTAGATTATTTCTACTCCTTGTACGATGGTAACCTTGGTGACAACGACACATGGCACCGGCAGGCAGCAAAATTTGAACCAGAACCTTCTTTGTCAGAGGTCAAACGACAAGATCTTGACGCCACCATAGCTAAAATTACACCACCGTAGACCCCAAACAGCAGGTGCATTGATGAAGTGCATTGAGGAACATAGGCCAATACATGAAATACGAAAGGAATCGTGAACATTTCGCCATAAGTGCCGGAGACTCGCACGTTTGTTTTTTTCGGCTTCAGTGTGTGGTCACGGCTCATCACAGGCAAGGCCTGTCGTGGTATGCACTACTACTACTACTACTACTACTACTAATACTAGAAGTATTAATAGTACGCGCGGGTTCCGCGTTTCTGCGTTTCGCACGGGTTCCGCGCGTTATGCGCGTCTGCGTTTCGCGCGGGTTCCGCGCGTGTTGTTCTGCGCGGGTTCCGCGCTTGGCTGCCTTCCAATTGCTTAAAGAAATTAATATATTAAGACGAATATTACTACTACGTCTACTAACTATAATTTAATCAATATTACGGTTAATATCATGTCTACTACATCTACGATATTATTACTACTACTACTACTACTACTACTAGTACTACTACTACTACTACTACTACTACTATTACTACTACTACTACTGAAAGTATTAATAGTACGCGCGGGTTCCGCGCGTCTGCGTTTTGCGCGGGTTCCGCGCGTTATGCGCGTTTGCTTTTCGCGCGGGTTCCGCGCGTGTTGTTCTGCGCGGGTTCCGCGCGCGTCGTCGCATTCAAATTTCTTACTACTACTACTACTACTACTACTCCTGCTGCTGCTACTACTACTACTATATTTCTACTACTACTACTATACTACTACTATACTACTACTATACTTCTACTACTACTACTACTACTACTACTCCTGCTGCTGCTACTACTACTACTACTATATTTCTACTACTACTACTACTATACTACTACTATACTACTACTATATTTCTACTACTACTACTACTACTACTACTACTACTACTCCTGCTACTACTGCTACTACTACTACTACTACTCCTGCTACTACTGCTACTACTACTACTACTGCTACTACTACTACTACTTCTACGACCACTACTACTACTACTACTACTACTACTACTACTACTACTATACTACTACTACTACTACTACTACTACTACTACTACTACTACTACTACTACTACTACCTCCTACTGCTACTACTACTACCACCTCCTACTACTACTACTACTACTGCTACTACTACTACTACTACTACTAATATACTAATACTAGAAGTATTAATAGTACGCGCGTGTTCCGCACGTATGCGTTTCGCGCGGGTTTCGCTCGTTACGCGCGTGTGCGTTTTGCGCGGGTTCCGCGCGTGTTGTTCTGCGCGGGTTCCGCGCGTGGAGCCGCATTCAAATGTCTTCAAAATGTTTTTGTATAACGACGAGTATTATTACTACTTCTACTAACTATAATTTAATCGATATTACGATTAGTATCATTTCTACTACATCCACGATATTACTACTACTACTGCTACTACTGCTACTGCTACTACTACTGCTACTACTAGTGCTACTACTACTACTACTTCTACTATTACTACTACTACTACTGCTACTACTGCAACTACTGCTACTACTGCTACAACTACTAATATACTAATACTAGAAGTATTAATAGTACGCGCGTGTTCCGCACGTATGCGTTTCGCGCGGGTTCCGCGCGTTATGCGCGTTTGCTTTTGGCGCGGGTTCCGCGCGTGTTGTTCTGCGCGGGTTCCGCGCGCGTCGTCGCATTCAAATTTCTTATTTCTCACTACTACTACTACTACTACTACTACTGCTACTACTAGTGCTACTACTACTACTACTTCTACTATTACTACTACTACTGCTACTGCTACTAGTACTAGAAGTATTAATAGTACGCGCGGGTTCCGCGCGTATGCGTTTCGCGCGGGTTCCGCGCGTTCGCGCGTCGTCGCATTCAAATTTCTTATTTCTCACTACTACTACTACTACTACTACTACGACGACGACGACTACTACTACTAATAATACTAATAATAGTACGCGCGGGTTCCGCGCGTATGCGTTTCGTGCGGGTTCCGCGCGTTACGCGCGTGTGCGTTTTGCGCGGGTTCCGCGCGTGTTGTTCTGCGCGGGTTCCGCGCGTGTAGCCGCATTCAAATGTCTTAAAGATGTTTTTATATAACGACGAGTATTATTACTACTTCTACTAACTATAATTTAATCGATATTACGATTAGTATCATTTCTACTACATCCACGATATTACTACTACTACTGCTACTACTACTACTGCTACTACTACTACTGCTACTAATACTTCTACTTCTACTACTACTACTACTGCTGCTGCTGCTGCTGCTACTGCTACTGCTACTGCTACTGCTACTACTACTGCTACTAGCACTAGAAGTATTAATCGTACGCGCGGGTTCCGCGCGTATGCGTTTCGCGCGGGTTCCGCGCGTTATGCGCGTTTGCTTTTGGCGCGGGTTCCGCGCGTGTTGTTCTGCGCGGGTTCTGTGCGCGTCGTCGCATTCAAATTTCTTATTTCTTACTACTACTACTACTACTACTACTACTCCTGCTACTACTCCTGCTACTACTCCTGCTACTACTCCTGCTACTACTACTACTACTACTACTACCACCTCTCCTACTACTACCTACTACTACTACTACTGCTACTACTACGACGACTACTACTACTACGACTACTACTACTACTACT